TCCTCTATTCTCCCTCCTATTTCAGAAACATAGGTTTATGACACAAAAGAATATAATCATTCTTTGAGTTGTTGAAAGGAGAGTGGAAAACCTTAGAAGTAGAAGCAGTTTAGGGAGGGTGGGGAGTGTACTGATACCCTCCTCTTCCCACCCTAGTGCCCCCACCCAAGAGGTTTCCTGTTGCAGCCCTAAGTATCTGGATATGGGTCAGGGAAGAAGGAAGGGCAAGAGCCATGCCTCTGTCCTTCAATCCTTGACTGTCTCCTCAGTTTTTTAGGAAGAGCAAGCTTTGTAAGTAGAGTGACTCACAAGTATGTTATCTTTTTTTTTTTTCTGTTCCTTAAGATCTTGTTCCAGTAATCACCCTAGCTCTTTCCTGAGCCTGTAGTGACAATGTAGCCCTGCGATTAGGATGAAATCTGTTGTGAAAGAAGAACTTTGAGCACATTCTCTGCTTTTGAGTTGTATTATAGAACAGGAAAGGCTAATAAGGTGGACTTCAAATTAAGGATTGTGCCATGGGAAGGTTAAATTGGCTTGTCTTTACCTCTCCTGATAAACCCTATTTACATGCAGCCTATACTTTTGAGATGAGAAACATCAAGGAAAATGACATGTATAGCTCTGGGGCAGCAAGAATTGTGCATTCTCAATTTGGGTTTCATTTTCTTCTGCCACTTGCTTTTAGGCAATTGAGTGTGGGTAGTGACAAGATATCAAACCCCTTAGTATTTCCTTTTTGGGAAATAAGGCACTTTTTAAAAAAAAAAAAAAACTTATCCACCTGAGTCCCGAAACAGTTTGACTCTCCAGTTTTCTGGCCTACACTCTAGTCAGCTCTGATCCAAGTTTTTGTAGAACAAACAGCCTTGCTTTAAGCCATGTCCTGTTGTGGGCCATGTAACAGCTGAACTGTCATAGCCTGGGGGCAGGCTGATAGCCAGGGTGTCTTGGCTGGAAGAGATTTTGGGCAACTGACTTGCCTTTGGTCATTAGAAAGCCTCCGAGGCCTTTTAAAATTTTTGGTGGGGTTTGGAGGGAAAAAACATAAAATGCCACTTTATAACTCCAATAATAACCTGTAATTTATATTTATTGTGTGAATTTTTAGTCCTATATTTTAATAATTTGTAAATTGATCTTATTCCAAGAATCCTTTGAACTTGCAGGAGAACATCTGGGAATCCAGCCTCCTGTCCGGATCCTGATCCCTACATTCAGACTGTTTAATCCACTTTGGGATGGATCAAAGAGTCTAGAGAGACCACTCGTAGGTCCAGCTGCTGGCCTCCTGACTCTCTAAAGCCTTCACTGGAATTGGAACATTAGCTCCAGCTCTAGCTGTGAACGTGACCAGAGACATTATTTATAATTCAGCCATTTAAGATATACCTGTACTCAAAAAGTCTTGTATATTTTTTAAAAGTTTTATTTTTAAGGTGAACAAAAATACATTCTAAGAACTCTACATAAGTCCGTGTAAGTTGATCGTTTCTCTTTTTGAACTTCTTGGGGAAGGAGTAAGAAGTTGGAAGAGGAAATGGTCTGAGATGTGGTGGATGGATGATGAGTAGGTGTGGGAGGAAAAAGCAATTACCCTTATGTTTTCTGTGCCTGATGGCTTCACTGAATTGATTAGTGAAGGATGGCAGGAATACATCCTAGGAAACACAAAGACATGAGGGTAAATGGAGATATGTAGCTTTAGGTTGAAAAAAGTTCTGCTTTTAAAGGACTCTGAGCAGGATGCTTAGCTGAGGAAGCTAAGAGACCAGTCAGCATGCATATTAAGAATTATTGCAAACATTGAGCTGGCCAAGAGCTGAAGTGAGGATAAGCTGCCTGATAGCATCACTATTCTCATCTTTAAACCACTGGCCCCCAGATAGCTCAAGAAGTGCTAACATTGTCAAAGACACACCAAGGAAGCTGCAGTAGTTGGTCAGAGCTTTGTCTACAATGGAGGAGGTAAGAGAGCCAAATGGTTTGAGAGAAGCTGTAGGTTGCTTCAAAGGTGAGGCTTTTTCTGCCCCCAAAGTAAACACAAAGACATGAGGGTAAAAAGCACAAATATAAGGGATTAGTTATGCTGCAAAATACATGGCAAGCAATTGAGTTCAGCTCATTATTAGACAATGCTGCCCAGTACACACCAAGCGGGAACCCAGTGTTGGTGGGGCCCCCTGAGGCCTGTACTTCTCCAGAGCCGTTTGGGAGGTGGCTACTGTGCTTTTATATCACCTTGTAGTCTGCAGGGGAGCATGGAAAAAGTCCGCCCTTCTTTTATTTTCCTCTTCAGCCTACACAATGGCTTTCTATGAGAGGACGTGGTAAGGCAGAACAAAAGGGGAAGGAGAGTTTTGAGGTTCTTCTAGTCAGCCCCTCCTGTAGATGATGACATATGGCTTCTGCAGCTTCACACAGGCACTTAGAGCAGTGCGTGCAGCAAGGCCCTGCTGACCAATGAGAAGGGCAGTGTTCCACCAGAACAGGGCCCAGTTGGCCGGAGCAGTGGTCCGAATAGCTTTATTTTCAAGAGTTAGCTGCAAAATTGTCCTCAGATTTTGGGCCAGGAAGGAGAGGTCTGTGCAGAGGAGGTTATTTTCCTTCAACTGCTTTGCACCTGCACCACCAGGATCGTTTCTAAGTGTTCACTCATACTGGAAGTTGCTTATATTAGAACAAGCATGTGCTTATTCCCTGACATCCTGAATTTGAAGGAAGAGATAATCCTCTTTTGAAAGTGAAGTTTTGGCGAGTGAGAATGTCAGGAGTTTGCTAAGCCAGTTACATTGAATGTGTATGGGTTATCATTTCTCTCCTCAATGGATGCTAAGGAAGAAGTTTTTCTCTAAAGTTTTAAGCATAAGAAATATTATTCTTCCTAAGATCTCTCGATTTCAACACAGTGTGAGACCATTTTCTGTCTACCTTGTTTTCCAGTTTTCACTCGGGAATTCTCAGTGCATTCTTTAGTTGAGTATTTATATACTGTTTTGAAATGCTGAGTGGAGAGCATTTACTTGTTTCTCCATGTTTCTTTAAGGGGAACTGAAAGGTCAGCTCTGGAGCTTTAGGGCTACCACAGCTATTTAAAAGGGGTAATAATTGTCCTCCCCTTCCTGTCTGCAGAGAATGGAAGTATTTCTGGAATTACAACACAGAAACTAAAGGGCTATAGCTGTACTTTTTTTTTTTTGGTTTTCCTCCTTAGGGGGAGGGACCACAATAGCTTTGCTCATTTCACAGGACCAGTGCTAAGCTCATTGCTTGGCACAGTAGTAGGTGCTCTGAGTTTGCTGATCCCCTGGTTGATCCCTATGTTGGATAGAATTGTTCCTTGTGTCATTGTGGTGTCACTATCATAATCCACTTGTGGACTCACATTCACAGCTCATAATCTGGTTCAAGGGCATGGATTGCTAAAAAGAACCCCTGCAGATCACAGCAACACTGGGCATTCTGGTCACAGTTTCTTTATTTCCAAGTTGAGAAACTTGGGCTTGGCCCGTCTGTTCTTTCCAAGCACCAGAAGTCTACAGTTGTGTTCCGCGTGGTGCTTAACAGAGGCAACATAGATATGTGACCTGGTCATTTTCTCCTCTGTTTTGGCCCTATGGCTTAATGTTGAACTATACCTACTCCATTGACAGTTTTTTGGTCACATCTGTTTTACTTGCTGACATAACCTGTGCGTTTCTGCTGCCAGGAAACCTATGTTATGTTCTTTGTTCCTTCCAGTAGCTAATTTTAAAAATACAAAAACAAAGCTTTTTTTACCACACACCCAGACTCTATCAGGCTCTCCATCCTAAGTGCAAAAACAGCCATGGCTCCCATGGTGCATGTAAGCCACCTGGTCAGCAAGGAGCACCCGGGCCAAACCAGTTTCCTGGTTCTACTCTATAAACATTTGTTAACTTCTACTAAAGGACCAGAAAATTACCACACAGTTCTCACTCTCAAGGAATTTACAGTCATGACAACAAGAATCTACCCTTGTTACTGCCCTGTTTTCTTAGCTTCAGTAATGTTTTTGCAATAGCTTATCAGTTAAACAGCAATAAGATTCTAACTTTCCTTAGAAGAGTTTCTGTAAACCGCTACCATTAATTCAAGAACTGCTTATTTAATGCCTACAGTGTGCCAATTGAGCTTCAGAAGTCCCCAGACTAACTTGTCCAAAAAAAGTAATTATGTTGATTACCAAAGATTTCCTTTTAAATATATCTCTGTGCTACCTCAGTGTTCTGCGTCATGAGTTGAGGTCTGCCCCTCCTGTGTCCTGAAGGCACCTGCCCCCTCAGCTCCCTGTTGGGCAGTCTGGGCAGTGTTGTGACACAATAGCCGGTCTCTGATCCGTAGACAGCTTACAGCATCATGAGGGTCTGGGTGGGAAGCAATGCACTCTTAGGAGGAACCCTTGAACAGGAAAATAGGAAACCTGAGGACTCAATAATGGCATTAGTTATGGCCTTTGACCCCTCTATTTTCTCCTACCCAAAATAGAATTTATGTGAGCAAATGGAAGTAATAGATGTGATGGGGCTTGGAGATCTTGGGAATAAAAGTACAGTGTACACACATGAGGTAATATGTTTTCAAGAGAATGTCTGTCCCTTTGGGCAAAATTGATACATAGGAAGAAATGTGAAGGGGCAGGTAATAAACGTTACACCAGTGTTCAGACCATCAGCATCAGCTTCACTGGAACTTGGTAGAAATGCCATGTCTTAGGCCCCATCCCAGACCAACTGAATGAGAAATTCAGGGAGTGAAGCTCAGCATTGTGTCTCCCAGGTGATTGTGATACACACTAAAATTTGAGAACCACAGGCCCAGCCTTTCCCTCTGATACCGTAACTTAGGGTTAGGGTGTTTCTGTTTTGATGGATGGTTATCAAGGGGTTTTGATTCTTTTTCTTGCTTGAAGCTAGCTGCCCTGCTGGGACGGGGGTGGGGACACTGTCCCCAGAGTTTATGAGAAAAGGAGAAGAAGCCTACATTGTTGGTTATTTTTGACAATTGCAGGAGAATTTACCCTGGAGAGCTTATTAAGAAGGAGACAGGCCTGAAACAGTCCTCCCTCCCTTTCCCACAAAGGTACTGATATGTTTGTCTTACCTCCTACCCTAGGGCCTGCTGTTCCTCCAGCAAGTCCTTAAAAGGAGCAGTGGGTGCCACATTTGTACTTTCTGGTGCCAAGTCTGCGCTATTTCACTTCCCCGGTGTCAAGTGGATGCTTAATGAGAGGCTGTGACGTGGGCCAGCAGACTTGAGAGAAAGCAGCCTCAGTCTGGGCCTTATGCTGTCTCCTCTCATTGCCTTTCCCAGCCTTGAGTTCTCCCCCTCAATGAAGTTGTAGTCACCCAGTGTCAACCCTTCCTTGTAAGCCCTGATAACCCTTTCTCAGAAAGAGTTGCTTCCCAGGGCCTGTGGACACTGATAAATGACTTGAGAGGCAGAAATAAAGTGGTTGGTGTCTTTAGTTTCTCCTACTCCTTTGCTCCCCGCCCCTATTTACTACCAAAAATAAGATACACGGATTTTACCATTTCTTTTGTTCTTTTGGGGAGCTAGTACCATCTCTGATTACTCCTGACCCTGATGCCAGGGTTGGAACTGTAGTTGACTGGCGGTCAAACTGTGCCTTGTTAAGTAGCTGGGAAGCCTCTGGATCCCCAATTACCCATCCCTTGACCATAGGAAAATATAGTCATGCTGCTCCTTTGGATGATAAAACTTAACACTCTGAGGCATGGGGAAAACTCCATAAGGGAGTTTGTTTTTGGTGGAAATTGTAAAGCAAAAGCCGTGGTGAAAATTCATGAGGTTGCCACTGATGTGAACGAACAGAGGAAAAGAGAAACCACTCTGAGCTATGGGAGCCAGTGTGTGAAGTTAGGGAGAAATGCTTACAACATTCTTTAGATCCCACTGGAAGATGGGGACAAAGAACCCTCCCTGTAAAAGAAGAGTCACTTCCTAAGGCTTTGACTAAACTAGACTCCCCAGGATTAAAGCAGCTGACTGTCCTGGAAAGCTGATAAATTTACAAACCATCCCTTGTTTCCCTGAGAGTGTACTGACTACAATAAAGATGAGACTAGAAGAAAGAGTAAAGGAAAAGATAGGAAACAAAGTAGACAGATCACACCAAATAGCTACTTCATTTATTCAATAAATAATTACTAAGTGCCTTCTGGGTGCCAGGCTGTTAGTAGTGTGCCTACTGTGTGCCAGATATATTTTACATACTCTTTAATTTTCTGAACAACTCTTCAAGGTATGTATTACTAGCCCCGTGTTGCAGGTAAGAAAACTGAGGTTTTAGAGGTTAAAATGGACCAAGGTCACGTAGCTAGCAGATGGCAGGTTTCAGATTCTGTCTGTTGGATTCCAAGGCCCATATTTGTTCCACTCTGCCACACTGCCTGTCATCAAAAAATATACCTCCCTTGCAATATGGTCTGCTGCTCTCTTCTGTGAGGTGATATGGACCCAGGAAGGGGATGTCTTCTGCCTCTTCTGCCATCCTTGTTTTGAGGCCTTAGGTAAAGCTGTCCTCTCCCTACTGGCTCCCTACTACTCTATGTGCCCTCTGTTCTCAGTTTTTCCAGCTCTGCCTGGGTTCCTGATAGCTGTGTCTCATGAAGAACTTCCCATCTTTGAAGAGCAATCTTGTCTGTTGGTTGGAGAGGAGAAAGGCATCCAAGAGGAAGGCTCCCAGTCAGGCCTTTAAACAAAGGAGCCAGGAAGAGATAGAACCAGCCTTCCATGACCTCCAGGTTTGTGGGTCATAGCTTGTTCCATCCTAGAGCAGGAAGGGTGGCCCCGATAGCTGCTAGTCCCCTTTGTCCTGAAGAAGGGCTCCCCTTTTTTGAGTAAAGCTCAGCAATACTTGTCTTGCCCTATAATCTTCCTCCAGTGAAGACGTCCTGTGCCAATCTCCATTCTCCCAGCCCCTAGTGACTCCTATGACATTCTTTCTCCCAACATCCTTCTAGATGTTACCCTCTAGGAGTAAAGCCCTATCTCACCATAGCCTTTCTGCCCAGCTTTCTCTCCTGCTTAAGTCCTGTTGTGAAGGCTGAACCAGAGCTATGCGCAAATACTACATCCTCATCCCATAATCAAACATGCCTTGGCACATACCCTTGAACGAAGGCACATCTGTAGAGATGGCAGCATTGGGGGTTGGGTGCAGTTTGTGACTCTTAGAATTCGAAATCTTTATCACAGTTATTCTTGGAAACATCTACATTCAAAGACTTCCTGAACCTGCTTCACCCCAGCTTTATCCTTTGGGAGACATGGGTTCCAGGGCCTGAGCCATGCTCCAAAGCCAACTGTATGTGACTAGAAGGCAAGAGGAAAACTTGAGCTGGGACTCTTCCACTCTTTGCCTATTCATTCTCACAGGGGTCTTCCTCCCACATACGTAAGAATGTTCCCAAGCCTTTCCAAAACCCCACGATCAACCCCACAGCAACCTCTTCAACCTCTTCAACCTCCCTTCGCTTCATCCCATTCCCACCCAGCTTTCTCACTCTCTCTACTACAGGAAGTGGGCATCACCACTCACTGGTCTGTCAAGCATCTTCCTAAGTGCCTCAGCTTCCCACCCAACCATGAAGCCAGGAAGCTCCTACCCGCAGGGGCAGTGCTCCCCCTTTCCCTATGTAGCCAGCAACTGAGCAATGAGAGTTTAGAGTCTACCTTTGCCCCAGCCCTCCATGTATCCTAGTCCAAAGCCTTAGTGGTCTGGGAATCAGCAGCCTAGGCATCACCTAGAGATGCATTAGAAATGCAAATTTCCAGGCCCACCCCAGACCTACTGACTTAAAATCTGCATTACTCTATGTCCTAGCACGTGAGAAGCACTGCTCTAAACAATCTGATCCCCTCCTCACACTTCCTGGAAATGTTTGTTGAACTGAGAGGAAGCCACAGCTTGGGCGGAGTCTGGATAATTCACCAGAAGGGCAGAGGGGGAATAAGAGCCAGTGAGGAAGCCCAAGGCTGTGACCCCATGGTTAAGGCCTTTCTTTGACAGTGGAGAAATCTTGGGGATGATCTGGACACCTCTGAGAGAACCCAGGGAGGCTGATGAGGGCCAGGACCCTCAGCAGAGAGGAACAACCCAGCAGGACCAGAGAGGAGGGGCACAGAGGGGGCCAAACAAAGAGAGATTCAGGCAAAGGCTTGGGGGCAAAGGGCAGGCATGATGAGAAAGGGAGGAGTACCTGCCTTTGTGAACAGTGGTGGGATGGCTCCCTTTGGGCTCCTACCACCATCCTCAGCCTCTGTCAGGCACCTACAGCCAAGAACAGCTCCTACTGTGCAGCCTGGATCTGCCGGATGACGGTTTCTTTCCTCCCTCTTGCTGGCAAAGTTGCCATCGCCCACCAGCTGCATTGCTGGTAGTGGGTGCTCAGGAAATGTTTGTTGAATTGAGAGGAAGCCACAGCTTGTGCGGAGTCTGGATAATTCACTAGACGTGGGCCTCAGGGGAGGGGCAGGAATGGAAACTTAAGAAGGAAAGACAAGTCCTGATGTTGTACTTAGCTAGAGTTGATGTTTCTCTTCTCTGAGTCCTTGTCTGAATCCTTGCTTTTGCCTGACCATGGTGCAGGGAGGTGGTGGGAAAAGGAAATAGGAGATGACAGGAAATGACCCTGGTATGCAGGGCTGCCCCTGCATATTCAGTGTGCACACAGTGTCCGACCTGGGTGTGGGGGAGGGAGTCCCTGATGGTGAGCTCTCCCACCCTACTGTGGGGAGAGGAGGCTGTCCTCCCCCAACCCGACTTCAGAGAGGAGGCCTTTCTAGGTGCCCTTCCTTTTGCTGAGGAGACCTGAGCTCTGCTCTTCTAGCCCCAGCTCAGTCCCTGCCTGCTATGGCCTCCTTTCTCTGGGCCTCAGCCTTCTCTTATAGAAGGCAGGAGGCTTCCAGCTAATTGGTGAGATTCCCCTGGTTTCGCCACTCTGTGTGTCTGGGGCTATGAGTCACCTGGGTGCAAGGCAGAGGTGTGGGAAAAGGGCCAGGCCTGGGCTGGCCATGCCAGCTGCTGAGGCTGCCTGCACCTGAGGAGCTGACAGCTGGCAGCTGGAAAGGAAGGCCAGGCTAGCCAAGTGCTAAGTGCTTGTTCTCTCGCCATGCAGGGGAAGCTCGTGGCCTAATCAGCAGTAGTCCCGGGACAAGGCTCATCAGCCTCAGAGACCGGGTGTGGCACAGGAATACACCAGATGCTGCACCTGCAGGTGAAAACACACAGGTGCACAGGAATGTGCACATGAGGTACAAGGAAGGACAGCTCCTTGCCCTCACAATATCACTGTGCCAGAGAGTTTGCTAAACCGTTCAACCATACGGCCATAAGCTACCAGCCACCAGAAGCCCATCACAAAGAAGGCTCTTGACTGTGTTCTCCCCTCCTTCTCTCCCCAGCCTGGTCCCCCTGCTCCCAGGAGCTTTGCTCAGCATCTCCCTGCAGGCCCAGGGCCCCCTGTCCTGCTCCTCATACCTCCTGTGCCCCTCGCCCTTTGGCTGTTTCCTCTGGTGGGTCTGCTTCGTTGTGCCAGGGACTGCTGGGCCCCAGCCTTGCCAGACCTATCTTTTCTGGGCTCTAGGGGCCCTGCTCCTCTTTGTGATTCAGAGAAAGTCTGGACTTCTGGCTCAACCTGGGGATCATTCCACCCCAGGGGCTGCTCAGAACTATCCGGCCAGGACACAGGGTTCTCCTCGGCACCAGGCCTTGGACTGAGCACACATGTACTCTTCCCAGGCCCAGAGCTACTAGTGCCTCCTAGAGAAAGGTCAAGGGGAACCAAGTCAGTGTTTTGTGTAGAGCCAGGGCCTGGACTGGCTGTTGAAGCTCCTGACTCCCTTTTTGGCCCCTCTGGAGATGTGGGGGCTGGGCTGGTTGCCAGGGCACTCGGGGGTCTTCCTTGCTCCATCCTGCTCTGCATCTGTGCATGTTCCTTCTCATTCAGAGTCTCGCTGATGCTTTGACTTCTCTGAAACAAGAGATTGGCCCTGCTGGCTAGCAAATCCAGGGATCGTGTCCTTAGCCCACCCTACCCTCTATCCAGGTACCTACCTCCTGGCTCTCTACCTCCTCCTTGTCTTCCTTTGTCTCCCACCTGTAGAAACATAGCACATGATGTGTTTCTCCTGCCATACTCCTGCCCTCCACACTTCACATCACCTGCACGGTAGCCGGCAGCCCACGTTCCCCAGGGAGAAGCTAGAGCTCCAAGGTCTCAGAAGCATCAGAGCCAGAAAAAGGCTCCAGAATGCTTGCCCTTCCAGCACACCTTGCTCCCCAAGTCCAACTATTTCCTCTAAACACCACCCTCTTTAGCCCCATCCCAGATCCCCAGCTGCTGTTTACAGCCAAGCCTGTAGCACCTTGAGTTCTGTGGGAACTTCAGGCATGTCTCTGCCTGTGCTGCCTGGGAAAGGCACCTGACTTCCCAGGGGAAAGTAACTGCTGTAATTATTGCCAGCCTCCCTGGGCACCAGACTCACTGCTGCTGCCTTTGCTGATGGCCTCTCCCTGAATCTCATTAACCTGCCACCAGGCAGCAGTCAGCCAGGAGGCAGAGGCCCTAGGGACCCAGAGCAGGCACCTGGACCAGTGCAGGTCCTGACCTCCCAGGGGCAAGGGAGAGCCAGGAAATCAGGAAGCTCAGATGCCTCCCTTGATGTTGCCCCTTGCCATCTATTTATTACCTGCGGGCCCTGCCAGTCAGCCTCTCTGTTCCCCGGGCTTTGCTGCATGTGGCCGGTGCCACCAAGAGTCTGCTTGGTTGACCACCCCAAGTAGTACCACCTGTAAGAAATGGTCACAAATCAAGAAGGGAAGATGACCTTAGCGGCCCAGCTCATAGGACTCTGCTTCTCCTCTCCCAACTCACCTTTGCTATCAGGGGACAATGGTGGGATCTGTAGCTTTTGGTGACTCCTGGGACCTAAGGAAAAGAAAATAGGGAAAGGATAGGGTGACAAAGGACCCAAAGCGGGACCACCAATTCTTCTAAGACCAGGAAGCTGTTGGTCCTCTTTTTGGTCCATTTGTGGGTTTTCTAGCTCCCCAAAAGATACCTGGTTCTGGAGATCAGGAGAGCTGGGTCCCTGTGCTCACTCTGCCACTCCTGGCTAAGTGACTAGCCAGCTTCTCCAGCCCCAGCTTCCCCATATATAAAACAAAGGGACCAGTTAATTCACAGAGCTCTGTTCCTACAATAGTCCAGGGACAGGAGAACTAGGGCCTTCGCCCATGAGGGACCAACAACTCAGTGCGACCTCAGCACAGACTTCCTCATGAGCTTCCTCCTCAGACCTCTGGGGTCAAAACCCCAGGGCAGGAGCTGTGGTTTGGAGGAAGGGCAGGGAGATCATGGTGCCCTCCTCTGATAGGAAGAGGAAGGAAGATGTTCTTCCATGCTTCCTTCTAGCTCTGAAAATAAGTGGTAAACCAAGAGACAGAGAAAAGAGAGGAAGAGGCAGGTGAGGGGTAAAGAAAGCCAAGGAAGGGCAGGGGGTGAGGTGGGTTTTGGCTCACCCCTGGAGCTGCCCGCCCTGCCTGGGCCCCCTTTCCGAGGCTTGCTGAAGTCCTGTAGCCTGTGGAGACAGAGAGAGTCAGGCTGCTGGTGCAGAAAGGGCAGAGGCTGCAGCAAGACCTACACCGATACCATCTCCCTCAATCCCAGACCCGGGACTGAAAGCAGCAGGGAGATGATAGGCCAAGAAAGATGGGGGACCAGTGCCTACATAGAGCCCTGACCCAAAGGCCCAGACAGACAGACCCTCGCCACCCTGGGGAGGGTCCCAGCAGCCCTCCAGGAAAGACCCACAGTTAGCCCTACCGCAAGCCCCACAAGCATGTCAGCCCAACAAGCCGCCCAGCCCTGCCACCCACGTGGGCTTGGTCTTGTCCAGGTCCCACGGGCGGCGCCAGTCACCCTGTGCATCTCTGTGCCGGGCGAGGCGGGCCAGGTCGATCTGCTCCCGCTCCTGCTTCCACTGAGCATAGTCCCAGTTCACCTCCAGGGCCTCCCGTACTGGCTGGTGGGGAGCTGGGCCTGGGACCAGGCCTGGACTCGGGGGTTCCTGAGCTCCCTGCCAGGAGAAGACACTCAGCACCAAAGGGTAGAAGCAGAAAAAGCACAGAATTTGGAAATCCAGAGTCTACCAACCCCTTCCTCTCTCAAGGCTTTTGACATCCCCATCTAAAAATTAGATTAGTTCAATCTCTAATGTACTGTTTGCCATAGGCACGGTTTCCATCCACTTGCTAGCTGTGTCTTTTGGGCAAGTTACTTAACCTCTCTGTGTATCATTTCCTCATCTGTAAAAAGGTGGTAACAATTGCACCTATCCACAGGGATGCTATAGGAATGTGTGGCCAGGCCCAGAGAGGAGAGGCACCCAGCAGCTGTGAACAAGAGCCAGAACTAGGGGCTGCTGCCACCTAGAGGTCATACCTGGCACATGGCCAGTCCCCTACACTCTCCTGGCCCCCACCCACTTGCCACCAGAGGTCCAAGGAGGGTAAGGGGCTGGATCACACATCTGGCTGACCCTATGTCTTACTACAAAGCCCTCCCAATGTGGAAACTGGCCCAAGAAAGGAAGGAGGAGTGGGAATTCTTGCTAGTCCTGCCTGGGCATGTCCCCAGATGGGGGACCTACGTGACTCAGCTTCTCAGCCTCCCCCAAATGGGGACTGCCCAATACATGTTCCCATCCCTTCTTGAAGATGTACCTTCCGTGCAGAATCCATGCTGACGGCCATCTGCATGGAGGGGTCCCGGCCCAAGCCCTCTCCAGGTGACCCTTCTGCTCCACACTGGCTCCTTGCTCTGGAGGGCTTCTCACGTACAATCCGCTTGGCCTAGGGAGGTAAGGATGGGCAGCATAGCAAAGCTGGGGGGAAAGAGGCTACTTGCCTGGAACCTGGGCTTCCCCCACCCACCCTGCTCACCTTGGCTTTGTTTTCCATGGTCACTGCCAGCTCTACTCGCTCTCCAGAGCAAAAAGTACCAGTGTGGTCTTGCACCATCTCATCTTCGAGCATCTCAGTGGCTGCTCCAGGTCCAAGCGTGCTCTTTGACCAGTTCCGGCTGACCACGCGCTTCTCCTACAGAATGAGGTGCTGTCCCCTCAGGCCACGTGGGCAGCGCTGAGCAGGAGCTGGGGGCTGGGTCCTTCGGGTGGTTCCCCAGGCCATCCCCTGGCCCTCCCTGGAATGCCCACAGAGGAGCTGACTCCGCAGGGCATTCACATGCCAGTGGCATTAGGTTATCCAGGACCTGGGGCCACCCAGGGGCCCAAGATGCCACAGTGCCCGCCATCTCTGAGCTGGGAAATCCAGAGTACTCGGACAATGGGGCTTTGTCCCTCAGCCACTGTTCCTGGCATTCAGCCCCACTTCTCTGTCCCCCAGGGGTTTGGGGTTTAGTAGTGGCCTATGCTTTGAAGCATACATACAGGGCTGTGGGGCTGGAAAAGGGTATGAGAGGGCTTCTATGTGGTGACCTTTCAGCTATGGCCCTTTGAGGACAGGAGGACAGCAGTAGCCTGGGCTGCATAAAGTTGAGAGCTGGAGGGTGCACCCCAGAACTGTGAGAGAAGCAGAGGAGCAGGGGCAGTTGTCCTCCCCTGATACAGGCTGGGCTTCCACCTCCTTGCCACCCCACCCTGTCTCCCAGGTGGGGCTTACACCAGGAACCTGGCTGATGGTGACAGTGAGGCTGTCAGGTCGGAGAACCTCTGGAGTGGTCACAGCCATGCACCCCTGCTCTGCCTGCCGACGATCTTCCTGGATCTCCTGTGGGAGGGCCCGGGGTCAGCAGAGGCCATGGCCCCCCAGATGCACAGAAACACAAATGCCGACAGGCCTACACAGAGAAATACCAGTGGGACACCAGGGGGCAGAGGCACCACATCACAGAGTCCACAAGACCCTCTCAGAGCCCTTGAAATGGACCACCCTCACCCAAACCTTGATCCCAGGCAGAGCCTGCAGGGTGAGACCCCCACACAAGGTTCTGTGGGTCAGATAGAGAGTGCCAACCCAGTCAGTCCTCCTGGCCCCTGGCACAGCCCACTCACCTGATACCTGCGTAGTAAGGCCTGGTTCTTCTTGCGAAGGGCAACTATTCTCCTGTCCAGCTCTGCATCCTTCTCTTCTTGCTTGCTCACTGGGGACTCAGCCCCATGAGGTCCCTGCAGAAAGCAAGGGCCCCAAGCTCCTGACTACTGGGTCCATTCCTTACTAGTGCCCCAACTTTCCCACCAGATTCTTATCATCCAAGGAACAGATCCCAGATCCAGAGCTAGCATCACGAGGGGGGATGGCACATAAAAGGCCCCAAGCCCCCACCTGACTAGGCCTGTCTGCCCATCTTTCTGCCTCCTCAGGGGTTCACATCAGGGCCTCATACCCAGGCCCAGAGCTCCCAACAGTGGGCTGCCCCTCCCCCAGCTCTCCAGGGAGCTCCACTGCCTAGCAGAGCCTGGAATGGAAGTTATAAATGGCTCTGGCAGCAAACCTGCCGTGACTGGGAAGTTGCCAGGGGATTCAGGAGGTCGACAAGGGAGCTGTTAGGCTCCCAGGCCCAGAACCACAGTAAAAAGAGAGGCCCCTTATCTGTCCTGAGCTCCCAGGCCCTGGACCCCACTCCCCAGGCCTGTGTCTAGCCTGTGGGAAAGAGCCGCTCCCAGGGGCCCAGCCTCTCCAGGCTGAGAGCTGCTGGCAGTAGAGACAGGAGAGAGCCAGCTCCACGGGCAGGCCCAGGTCCCTCCCTGTCTGGCTGCAGGGTCTCCACCGTGACCAATGCCCTGCCCAGCCCCCCACCCGCCTAGGCACAGCCCTCTTCCTCCCAGGCCCAGCTGTCCCCAGCTGCCCCCAGAATATGGCTTCCTGGTATCCCAGCCCTCTCCCAGACCCGAGAAGCCCTCCACCAAGGGCAAGGTGCCACTCACAGCTGAGTGCATGGCAACAGCAGGCACAGAGAGAATTCCAGAGCAGCCTCAGGGGAGCCAGAGCAAGAGGGACGCCGTAGCTGACGGAGCCGGGCCTCTGCCGGGCCTCTGCTGGCCTCTCCCTGCCGGCTTCGCTTCTCAGCACACGAGATCATGTTGTGATTACAAAAGACTCCTCTGGGCTCCCAGCCAGGAATGCTGTGGCCACTGCCCCCACCCATGCACGCTCAGAGGGCGAGGACCAGGACACCAGCAGTCAGCTGGCCCAGCCCAACACCTCTCCCCTGTCCTGCCCCAGTGTCCCCAGACAGACAGGAACCGCTTCCTGGCAGGCTGAGGCTGAGCCCACACAGGGGACCCGGCGGCCCCAGGCCCTACTTTCCCCAAGGCTCTGTGCCCCAGCAAAGCCTCAGCTGGGCCTGCCTGCAGATAGCTGGGCAGACAATGTGGGCTTTCGTCTTCCCCATTAGTACAGAAAAGCCTACAGGACACAGCCCATCGGGCTCCCTGACCCGAGGGGCCCCACTTCAAATGAGCCTCTCCCGACTCTCTTTACCAGCACTGGTTTAAAAATTTGAGGGAACCAGGAAGCTCACCTCCCCTAGGCCACCAAATATTACTACATACCTAAAATAGCACCGTTCATATTTATTTCCTTGGGTCGAACATTGTCTTCTCTGTATTTTAAAGTATAGCCATTCCTGGGAGGCTCAACTATTCGGGTCTCCCCTTGGTGTGGGGTGCTGGGCCTTCCCTCAAGGCCCTTGCCTCCACAATTCACAGCTGGCCACCAACCTTCCCCGCTTGGGCTCTGAACTCTGGGCTCTTCCTGGCCTTGCTCTCTAGGGCTAGGCCTTTCAGCCTTTCTGACCCAGAGAAAGGAAGCAGCTTTCTTGGGAAAGTCTCTTTCAGATCTTCCCTGCATAGCTAACACCGGTCCCCCCACCTAAGGGAGCAGTTTGCCTGGCAGTCCTACCCTGAGAGCTTCTGGGACCGGGGATTTGGGGTGCTGGGAAGAAGGGTACTGTCTCTGTATCAGGAGCACCTGGGATCTGTTTCAATAGTTACAGGGCCCAAATCTCTAAGCCCTGAGGGGGAAGGTCAGAGGCATCTGCATTCCCCACGTCCCTGATTGATCAGATCTCAGTTTCTCTAATTCCATGCCATGACTTGTCCCCGTCAGTCTCCAGAGCAGAAAGTCCCACCACCCTCTCTGTCCCCCCAGATCAGCCCAGGCAGCCAGAGGGTCCAACCTCTGCTCCCCCTGAACCTCCCCTTCCTGTCTGCCCTCCCCTCCCCACCATGTTTAAACTCTTTTCTGGACAGGCCTTCACAACAGCACCTCTGACCCCACACCCAATCTCCGCAGCCCCAGAGTTCCCATCCCAAATGCCACAGTGTTCTCTCTTCCTTTCCTGCCGGATGTTCCCACTGAGTCAGACTCATTTACTTTCCCAGCAACGTGACGCACCCAGGCTAAGGAGCCCTGGGTCTCTCTCTCTCTCTCACACACACTCACTTCATCTCTCACCTTCTCTGTGTGC